CTTTCCCTTCCACTCTTTCGATCAGAAGAAGACGTGAAACAACAGCCAATAAGGCCCATCATCACCACAGAAGGCCCCCTGGGTACTTGATGGTTGGTATCTTATATAGGGTGTCCCAAAATTCACGCAAGATTTGAATTTTGCGTGAGCATTAACAACAACAACAAAATAAAATAAAAGCCTAATTTTACTTGGTTTATTGAATCAGATTCTAATATCTGTTGCCCTTTGATTTCAATCCCTTCAACTTGATAAGCATTACCAGGTACCAATTATGGCCTAGGAGCAGGGACAATGAAGACCACGGCTTTGTGTATGTGCCAGCAAAGCCATGGAGGCTATTTACTTGATGTGCTATTCAACACATAACCCTATACTGTATACTTTATGAATCAATAAAAAATTTACAATTTTTAATTATAAACCTGTGTTTTCTATCAAAATTACTTCTTGCGTGAATTTTGGGACACCCTATATCTTCCCCAGGACCCCAGCTAGTGAAGGACAGGGAGAGTTGAAGGCTCACATTGAAGAGTGAGTCACCAAGTTCTGGCCTCTTGTTTCATAACTTCTGTGTATAATGTCCTGTAACAAAAGGTCTAGAACATTTGGGACTCGACACGGAAACATGCTTACTCACACCTGCCTTAATTTGTTTGGGGATTCCCTGGCTGAGTCTTTTTTTTACCGTACTGCTTTTACCTCATCACTCCTTGCACTGCCTGTCCTCTTGCCAGCGGTTTCTCAAACATGGATATTCGTCACAAAAACAAGCCCGAGTAGATGGTAGGGTTTGATGTGATAATCCCATCTATAAATTCCGAATTGCTTTCCTCAGGTGAAAATAAAACTCATGAGAAAGCAATTTTTGCCAAGCCGGATTTCCCTGCAAATGCTCCAGTGCATCAGGGCAAACAATTTGTAAAGAAGAACAGAAGCTTGTACTGACGCACAGGCGGGCATGGCCTTGGAAGTCATTACCCGGTAAATCCAGCTGCTCAAGCAATATAAAAATTGCTTAGAACAATTCCACAGAAGACACCTTTCTAGAAAGCCAATTCAACAACTATTTCTTAAATCTCTGCAGTGTAATTGCTGAATGCAACAAAATTGTTGAAAATCTTGGGTGCAAAAGTCTTACTACCACCAACGTGGAAGCTTCGCCCTACCTCTTGGTTTGCTGCCAGATACCAATCCTGGAAAGAACCTGGCATTGGAGAGACAACTTTGAACACAGAAGGGCATGGCTGACCCCACTTCCCAGTGCCTCCCGGTGACACCACTCACACTGAGTCTGCAGCTTTTGGAGCACTGATGTTATGGTAGCTCATGGAATTTTCTTGCTAGTCTCTCAAATACACCCTAACACTTAAGCACTTAAGCACTAGATGTCCTATGAAGCACATTTTAGTTCTTGAAAATTACCATAAAAGTCACCGTTTTTCATCTCAAAACTGCCTATACAACAAAACAAATGAAATTGCCTTTTTTTGAGGGGGGGCGGCCCACTGGGCACATTATTCACTCACATGGTCCCCATGGCTATTTACAATGCGCAACAATCCCTCTTACTGTCCCATTCATTCCCAACTGGGCAACTAAAGCAGATGCAAGCAAGTCAGCAGCAGTGTAGGGAGGGCAAGTGGAAGATGGAGACAATGTAATATGCTTGCACCCCCTCTCTCTGCACCTACATTAGAATTTGCAAAGGTCCTCATCCTTCTGGTGCTGCAAGGACATGGTCCCCATGTCGTAAGTCCCCCTCTGCCCCATCTCACCCTCACCTTCCCTAGGTCTCTGGGCACCCCTGAAGTTAATCCAAATGGTCCATTTTTATCAAAGGGATTTGCATTATTAATATGTAGAACTAAGGGCAGGGGCAAGCATGCCCTTAATGAAAATAAATGTACCTGCCACAAGATGTCAGTATACATACTCCCACAAGTTAGCTGCTATATTTCCATACATGAAATATCAGAAGCAAAGGCTGCATATATCTTATATCCTGATATTAGCAAGAAAACACGTTCCCGTTCCTTCCCTTGGTAAAGAGATCAACCAATGCCTTAGGCCATATTTGATTAAATACACAAATAGAAGTGTGGTGGGTGACCTCCAGTCTCACCTAGAACCCTGTCCTCCCTTCTCAACTTTGTGCCGGTGTGTCTCCTGCTGCGGGGTGGGTGGGGTGGGAGAAGCTCCCAGACACTTCTCTCCTCGCTTCCCTCCCCCTCACTCTTTTGCCCCTTGAGTATCTATCTTGACTCTGGTCTAGCCTGGAGAAGGTCTTCTTTCCCCAAGGTCACCCCAAAGGCAGCCACACCTTTAAAGGAAGAGAGAGAAAGGAAAACACAAAAAGAGAGAGAACAGCCTCTTCCACTGGACACATAGCCCTTTCCAGGGAGCAGGGAAGCCAAAGCAAAGGTCAGCTCCTGCTTACCTTTTTGCCATTCACAAAGAAAACCAACTCGTCCGCTGTCATTGTCAACAGGCGGGTCCCCTGAACTCCAAGTACCTCACTCCCAAGAGGCAAGGGCAGTTATCACTCCTCTGCCACTTGAAAAACACACCTCCCCAAAATAATGAGAGCAAGTAGGCCAATAGGAGGGAAGGAGCGTAGAGCCTCAGGGGGTTGAGAGTTCCTGGCAAAAAGCCATCTGTTTGCATAATGGAGGAAAATGAAAGCAATCATTCACAAGCAAATCACACCCCCAACACCTGTGTCAAAGAGCACAGAGGAAGGCTCGAATCAGCAAGATTATCAGCCTTGGGACTGTGCCACCATGGGTCTTAGGCACTGCCCCGTGGAGCCTGCTTCATCCTTCCACTGGCTGACGACAGGGAAGGGGGAAGGGCCATTGTCAGAGTCAGGGCAGTAGGGCTGACTCACATCCTCCTTGTCTGCACTTGATGGTTCACCATATATAGTTACAGCAACACAGACTCAGCACTTACATGCAGGGCTCATCCTTATGGGGGAACATGGAGGTCACAGATGTGGTGCCCAGTGATCCAGATGCAAAACCTGGCATTGGACCTCAGCCAGTTACTTATCTCCTTCAGAATTCTGTGCTCACCCTCTAAATGGGCACACCAATGACACCAAAAGCAGAAGGCTGAGGGACATATGATATATTTTGGAAGCACTTTGTCAATTTGCAAAGAACTAAAATATTGATTACTACTGCTGATGTATACTCAACAACACAACAAAAATAATGCTAACAATAAATCATTTTTGAGGCTTTTATTTATGTCTCTCAGGAATATGCCCTTAATACATCATCAGAGTAACTCATAAAAATATTTCGTAATACCAAATAAATTAAAATGCGCACACTACCTAGTCATAGGCCAAGTTAGCTCAGAGCTGAAAACCTGCCCTCGTCCAGTATTCATTAACTCCTAACGCAAACACACATGCGCATTGCCCACCCGGGCAGCACCAATGAGCTCTCTGCAGTCTGGCACCCAAATGCCCCTCCCAGTCCACACACACACACACACACACACACACACACACACACACCCATCAGCTTTCCCTCTGGTCTCCTTTCACCCTAAAAGGACCCGCACAGATACTCAATCAGCCCTTGAAAACAGGTAACTTTCCCCACACTCCTGGCAGGCTACATAGAGTGGGGTGGAGAGACAGGAGTATTAAGCAGAAGTGCCTGGCACCGCAGCAGATTAGAGAAACTGAAGACTACAGGACAACCATGTTATCCACACAGGGGTCTCTCCCAACCACAGCCTTCATATAAGCAGAAGATGAAATTCCATTTGTAGGGTGGCCCATCATCCCAGTTTGCCTCCGCCTATCCTGGGTTTAGCACTGAATCCCTTCAGTCCAGGGCAAACTGTGTTGGTTGGTCACCAGAAAACAATGATTTTTAACGGGGGTGGGTGAGGATTCCCAACCTCAGAAGCCATTCAGCGATGTCTGGGGTTGAGTTTTATTGTTATGACCAGGAAGAGTTGCTACTGGTATCTAGTAGATAGAGGCCAAGGATGCTACAAGACACTCTATAATGCACAGGACAGCCCCAGCAACAAACAACTATCTGGTCTTACATGTCAATAGAGCCAAGATTGAGAAACCCTGCCCTAAAAGAAAGAAGGAAAGAGGGGCTGAGCCTGGGGTGGTGCTTGGTAATGGGGGACTTCTCCCTGACCTTTCACCTCTGTGATGGAGGGGCTTTTCCCCTATTCACTGATCCACCCCAGCTATCGAAGCCCTTGACTTCCTAGCCAGTCTCTAGCCAAAGTCCCAAGAAACTCTCAAGGTAAAGAGGGAAGGCTGAGGCAGGAAGGACCTTAGGTTTGATGTAGATAGACTGGCTTGAATATTAGCTCCGCCACTTCTGTGTGACCTTTGGCAAAAATCACTCTCTTGGCCTCAGTAGACTTATCTATGGAATGGGGGCAACTATACCTACTTGGTAAGAATCCACTGTGGTGAGAATTAAGTGGGACTTAGGTTAAGAGTGTGACCCACAGTAAATGCTCAGTACATACGTAGTGATTTACCTGTCCCCCGTCTGCCAGTCTTCAGCCTCCCAGAGGTGAAGTTCCTCTCTGTCACTGTGGAGCACTGACAAAAATGAGAGCAAAATACATTTTCAAGAAGGGCTCGTGCTGTCACTCATATTTTATTTCTATAATAATTATAATAACTAATTCATTTCTGTAATACTGAGATTTGACCAAAAAAACTTTAAATTAGTATTACTTTTTATTCAGGAAAATATTTGTGACCATTTCTTTCTCTGTGGTTTTTCTAGATGTTATAAATTAGGGGAAAACAGTCTAAAATAATTTTTTTGTTATTTTTCAAAGATGATGACTGTTAGGTCGGAGAGAGCCCAGGATCGGATACATGCAGACATGTGACGAGATAATGGACTCCCCCTGGCATGTCTAACAGATCAGCGTGCCAGACACAGATACAGGCTTCTCCCTGAATCCACAATGACCCTCACACAGATACTGACTCATTCCTGAATACCTGGTTGACCCCTGCAGCTGAAACTTCCTCAACTGAATACCTCAGCTCATGTCCCTGCCCCTCACCCAACTGCAGTATAAAAAAAGCGCCCCCCTCCCTGTTGGTGTGAATCCACGTGCCCTGTCCTTGGGGTACGTGGGTCTCCCGGGGACGCAGAAATAAACCTTTTCCTTTCCTTTCTTTTCTGATTCACTGGACTCTCTATTTCTTGCGCCACCTCCTGAGCCACCTAACCTAACAATGACCACCTATGTATGCTTTCAATGTTGAATGAATTCCCAAATTTGGGTTGAATGAATGGGATTTCGTGGTCTGGGAATGGGCCAACTATAACTTACATTACATTAACTTACCGCACTTTTCAAAAGAACATCTTGCTTTATAATTTGCACGGCGTTGGTAGACGAGGTCCCAAAGTCCATGGAGAAGTCAGGTAAGCCCTGAGGCCCCCTGGATACAAACAAGTCTTCCTCTTGGAACAACACTTCCAGGAAATCACAAGAGATAAGAAGAGTAAAAACGCTGCCAAGAGCCAACTCCTAACTCCTAGAATAGTGAGCTCTTTGGGCCAAGCATGGCCAGGAAGGAGTGATTCAGGAAAGCGCTCGAAGGTTCTCTGAATGCCTGGCCAGGCCTAGTGCTCCGGCAGCTGCTGCCCTGGCAGGTCCCACTTCCCGCGGGTCTCAGGGCCAGCCCTGCCTGTGCCTGCCTCTGCAGCAGCACCTCTGGGCTGCCCACTCCCTCTCTCTGCACCCAGATGTGCGCCTCTGCCTGTACCCCCAGGTGTCCCCTGTTCACCTTCTTCACTTACAACAAACTTTACTCGAGCCCGGCTGGCCTGGCTCAGTGGTTGAGCATCGACCTATGTACCAGAAGGTCACGGTTTGATTCCTGGTCAGGGCACATGCCAGGGTTGTGGGCTCGATCCCCAGTGTGGGGCGTGCAGAAGGCAGCTGATCAATGATTCTCTCTCATTGATATTTCTATCTCTCTCTCCCTCTTCCTTCCTTTCTGAAATCAATAAAAATATATATTTAGTTAAAAAAATTTACTTGAGAAAAAGAAAAATCACATCCCATTCAGGGTACATGCCCAGGGTTGCAAGCTTGATCCCCAGTAGGGGGCATGCAGGAGGCAGATGATCAATGATTCTTATCATTGATGTTTCTATCTCTCCTTTTCCCTTCTCTGAAATCAATAAAAAAAATATTTTTTAAAAAATCAAATTTCAAAAATTCTTATGAGTTGAGCCCACAATACAAGGAACAAATGGATTTCAGAAATGTCTACGCCTCTGCCTTTTACCAAATGTGAAATTTTCTTCATCATTCTGTATCTCAACACCACTGAACTTCCCTCACCAGCAACTTTCCTTTTATCATTGATATGAGGTAACCAACCGGTATTCCTCAACATAAAGGTCCCCATTATTACCAGGGAGGAAATCAGCCCCTGGTTTTCTACATGCATCTGGGCAGTGGGTTCCTTTAGAATCAAGAAGGGGTTACTCAGAAGTGGACACAGAGTCAAAACTAAAAGGATGTGAACTTCAGCCTGAGTTCGTGCCACAGACATATAAAAGCTACAGGAGCCAAACCGGTTTGGCTCAGTGGATAGAGCGTCGGCCTGCAGACTGAAAGGTCCCAGGTTCGATTCCGGTCAAGGGCATGTACCTTGGTTGGGGGCACATCCCCAGTAGGAGGTGTGCAGGAGGCAGCTGGTCGATGTTTCTAACTCTCTATCCCTTCCCCTTTCTCTCTGTAAAAAAATCAATAAAATATATTTTTAAAAATAAAATAAATAAATAAATAAATAAATAAGCTAGAGGAGCAGAAAAGACCCAGAAGCAAATCAACCCCACGTTACCAGTCTTCATTTGTTGTGTTTTTTGATAATGTCTTTGACATTCAATAAGCTCTGGAACTCCAAGGTCATTTGTGGTGATGACCACGTGGGTTTGTCTGCACACAAAGTAAGCTCGCTCTTTCCCATCTGAGCTGCTCTAGCACAACTGAGGAAGAAGAGCCTTGACTTCTTCACTCAGAGGTCAACTCACATATGCTCTGTAGACAATATGTCCCAATGAGTAACCCCTGAGAAAATTCTTTTCACAACTGTTTGCAAGCCCTATCCTCCTCCTCTGACTTTTTTCTTATTAATCATCTGAAATATTATACCAGTGATGGCGAACCTTTTGAGCTCGGCATGTCAGCATTTTGGAAAACCCTAACTTAACTCTGGTGCTGTGTCACATATAGAAATTTTTTGATATTTGCAACCATAGTAAAACAAAAACTTATATTGTTGATATTTATTTTATATATTTAAATGTCATTTAACAAAGAAAAATCAACCAAAAAATGAGTTAACGTATCACCTCTGACACGCATGTCATAGGTTCACCGTCACTGTACTATACCATGACCTCAGTTACGTATTTATGGTCTCTCCCCCTGCACCCATGAGGATGTAAGTGTGCAAGCTGTCTCTGCGTGCCCTACAAATATCCATCCCCTTCTTCTCTATTGAAGCGTTTCTGCTGGGAAGTCACTGCCCAGCCAGGAATGACATTTCTCAGCCCTTCTACGTGTAGAAAGCCGTATAATTGAGTTCTGATGAATGTAATATGAGAAAGTGCTGTTCACAATGTCACAGCTCCCATTCTCTCTCT